GCCCACTTACTCCTTACTTCCTGGAGGTTTCTGCTCAACTCTTACCTTACCTGAGTTACCTGGCATAAAATGCTAGGCCACCCTTCCGGCACTGGGCTTCCCACTCTCCCTTTTTAACCTTTATCTTCCCCACAGCACATATCATATATTATCTCATCTGACATGCTATTTGTGGTCTTTATTGTCTGTGTCTCTCCTTCAGAAATAAACTCCAAGAACATTTTGTTCATAAGATCACCACCACCTAGGACACTGCTTGGTCTGCAATAGGTTCTAGATAGATGACAAATAGATGATATATATATAGATGATTATATAGACTAAATTTTTATGAAAGTATCATAAAAGTGCACAAATCTTAAGTGTACAATGAATATATTTTTATATATAAGCACCACACATTCAAGCCATAGAATATATCCAAGTCTCCCTATGGTCCTCCCAGTCAATCCCCACCCCTTAGGTAACTATTATACTGACTTCCATCACCACTGATTTTTGAATGTCCTAGAACTTCATTGAAATGAATTATATCATCGAATGTACGCTTTTGTTTGGCTTTTGTTCAACATAACAAGATTTACCCACGTTGTATGTAATGGTTTGTTCTTTTCCACTGTTCTAGCATATCTATGCTACATGTATTTACACAAGCCCTTGTCAATGGGCAGTGGAGCTGCTTCCAGTGGGGGCAATGAACACTCTGTAGATTCTTTTTGGGGACATGTGGCTTCACTTCTCTTAGGGAGATACATAGGAGTGAAATTTCTAGGTCACAGGGAAGATGTATCAACTTAATGGACTAATTGAAGATTAGTCAACTTAATAAGAAACTGCCAAATGCTTTATCAAGGTGTTGTCCCCGTTGACATTCCCAGCAGCGTATGAGTTCTGTGTCACTGCCTTTTCTGTAGTACTTACTAAGGTCAGCCTCTGTCATTTCAGGCTCTAGTGGGTGACCGGACACTCACCTCCCCACTGAGTACTGATGGTGGGTGCTTAGCAAGTGTTTACTGAATGAGTCTTACATGGGCTGCGGAAGGGGGCTCTCCACTTGGCAGGGAAGGTCACAGTGCTTGGCTTACACTGGCTGTGCCAACACCTGGGGGCACAGCTGAGACCAGGTTGCATATTCAGACAGGACTTAGTTCAAAGCTCAAGGCTCCAGACTCCCTGTTGAGAAAATCATCTATTCCCCAGTAGCCAGGCACCCAGAGGCCAAAACCACTTATTCCCACTCCAAGGAGGTACCCAGAGGCCTGGCCCAACCAGGAGCATCATCTCCCTTTGGGTCCTGCCCTCTGACTCAGGAAGCTGTACTCCTAACATTTGGTGAAAGTTGGGCCAGGCCTCTCCAACTGTTATGTGAGGATCTGCGACAGAAAATGGCTAATGGTCACCTAGGTTGGCTTGGGTGGAACCGTGTAACCAGCTTTAGCAAGTAAAGTGAGCAGAGGCACTAGACCATTCCCAGTCCTGGCCTATAAAAACCTCCATTGGCTATGACCTTTACCCTCCATGACCTTGAAAGTCATGGGCTAAAGATAGTGAGGCCACAAGAACCTAATCCTTAATGTCTTTCTTAGACATATTGGTCAGACTTATTGGTCAGAAAAAGTCCACTATGAACCTACGAGCAAGATACAAACTCCCATTGCATTGGGGCTTGTGTATTTTGGGTTTATTATGCCAGCAAGCTTGCCGTCCAACAGGTATAACTATTACAGCACATGTAACTAATAAAGATACTAACTAGCCCCACTTTTATAGATAGAAAACTGAGGCACAGAGAAGCTACAGAGCTTACATAAAGCTAGCAAGTGGATGAGACAGATTTTGAACCCAGTACCTGGCTCCAGAGGCTCCAGTTCTCTACATTCTGTCTGAAGACTGAACAGGACAGGCTGAGAACACGGGAGGTCAGCTGCTCCAGTTCTCCTCACACTTTGGCAGGTACACGAGAAGTGCTCCCTGAGCCCTGCCCTCCTCACTTTCCTGTCATCCTTTGAACCCTCTCAGTTCAAAATCCACCTCTGGGATGGACCCCAGCAACAGACTCCTACAGTCTCTTCCTCTTCCTCACCCCATGGCCTCAACTTTGGTGACCCCAAGTGTCTGCCTTCCCCAGGTCTGTCTCCAACCTGCTGCTAAACAATACTGCTCCAATAGACTACCTCCTGCTCAATCCCCAGGTCATCCCGAGTTCTTTCATTCTTTCTACATGGCAGGGGAAGATACCTCTTGGTTCATGTGACTGGAAGTCCAGATGCACAGGCACCTGGTGGGCCTGGATCCAGGTGTTCAGATGCACTCAGAAATCTCCATCTCTGAACCTCCCACAATGGCTTCTCTCAAGCAGGATGGCCTCTTGTGAGGTCAAGGTGCTTCCAGCAGCTCCAGGCCCGTGTCCTACCAAGCTCTGCTGCCTTGTGTGGCTGTTGCTACTGAACCTCTTTCCTATGGTCTCACCTGAAGTCTCAGGGCTCAGGTGCACTGGGGTCTGACCCCATTCCCACACCAGTCAGCATGGCCAGAGTGTCAGTGCTGTGACTGACCAAGCCAGAGTGCCTTGCCTGCCCCTCAACCCTAGGGAGTGGGGCTGGCTGCCCATACCTCAGGCTGGAAACAGGAGCACTGTAAGAAGACGGGGCATGGATGGGCGGCAGGGCCCTTGGAGGCCTGTCTCTAGCTGTCCAGTGGAGAACCCAGCCACCCCACACCATGCCTCAGGTCACCGAGCCTTTCACTGTCCTCAGTGCCATCTCAGACCTTCTTTTCCCCTTCAGCAAGACAGGTGACCCTGGCTCCTACTTCCTGGAGTAGTCACCAGCAGATGAACAAGGGGCACCTCAATGTTCCCTCCAAAACCCTCTTCCCACCCTCACCCTCCTTAGGTTGGGGCCTGCTTTAGCGCCACCCCCAACCCATCAATTCTCTCCAAACTCTTTTTTTTTTTTTTTTTTCGGTACTGGGGTTTGAAATCAGGGCCTTCACCTTGAGCCACTCCACCAGTCCAATTTTTTGTGTTGGGTTTTTTTCAAGATAGGGTCTCATGAACTATTTACCCAGGCTGGCTTTGAACCTCGATCCTCCTGATCTCTGCCTCCTAAGTAGCTAGGATTACAGGCATGAGACACTGGTGCCTGGCCTCTTCCAACTCTTGAGACCCTCACTCTCTAGAAGCTTATGATTCTACCATCTTTTAAATTTTCTTTGTGGTGCTAGGGATGGAACCCAGAGCCTTGTGCATGTTAGGCAAGTGCTCTACCACTGAGCTACATTCCAGTCTTCTGCCATCTTAAAAAATCAAACATACACTGCTCCATTGGTCTCTTCACAGCACAAATGTGGCCTCTGCTCACCTGAAGTTTCCTCACTTTAGCTATTCCCACCTCCTCATCAACCACCAGTGTCCATAGTATTTAACTGTCCTTCCAGGCCCATCTGGATAGCCCTGGGTTTGGCTGCTTGTCTCCTCTGGTGGCCTGCACAGGCCCTCCCCTCCCCCTGCTGAGGTCACCTGCTCTCCAGGTTTACAGGTCTGTCCCTAGGTCTCCACATCTACACACCCACTCAACAACTCCCTCAGTGCCCTAGGGGCACCACAAATTCATCACAGCTAAACTTGGGCTCTTCATGCCAAATCCTGTCCCCTTTGTCCTGTGTCCCCAAACTGGGAAAGGGCATTACCCCTGATAAACGCTGTAGAAAACAACCTGGGAGAGGTCCTATTAATTCCTACCCTCACTCCCACATCTGTCAAGCCCAAGGTCAAAACAAACTCAAGTCTCCCCATGCTCTCTGTTCCCCTGCCTCATCCTTCTCCTACCATCATCCTCACTTGCACTCCCAGGACAACCCCAAGATCCCTGGGATGCCTCTACCAGGGAAAGCCAGCGATCTCATCAATCCTAGATGGGCCCACAGCTCCCAGGATCTAGGCCTTTAGACTGAGGAGGCTCACATGGCCACCACCTAACCATGCCACTGAGCCGTGAAGACACACACCTGTCTGTGGCACTGGAGCTGCCAGGCTGCCCAGAAATACCCGTGAACAGGCAGACTGCTCCACTCAAAAACATGCCTTCAGCCAGGTGCCTGTGGCTCACACCTGTAATCCTTGCTACTCAGGAGGCAGAGATTGGGAGGATTGAGGTTCAAAGCCAGCCCAGGGAAATAGTTTGTAAAACACTATCTCGAAAAAACCTATCACATGCACACACAAAAAAAATGGGCTGGTAGAATGGCTCAAGGTATAGGGCCTGAGTTCAAGCCCCAGTACAGCAAACAAACAGACATGCCTTCAGCCAAGCATGGTATCTCACCCCTGTAATCCTAGCTACTCAAGAGGATTGAGGTTTGAGGCCAGTGGGGGCAAAAAGTGAGATCCCCCCATCTCAATCAATAAGCTGTCATCCCAGCTATGTGCGAAGTATAATAGGAGGATTACAGTCCAATCATAAATGGGAGACCCTATTCTAAAACTAAGTGAAAAAGAAAAAACAGATGGGCATGTAACTCAAGTAGGCCTGCCCAGCAAGTGCAAGACTCTGAGTTCAAACCCCAGTACCAACCAACCAACCAACAAACAAAAAAGGTGCGTTTGAGGCCATCCACTAACTTGCCTATCTCCTCTCCTGCTGCTTTTCCCATATGCCCTTCACTGTGCTGGGTGAAGAGAACCCAGTCTCAGCACTTATCTTGCCTGTCCCTTTAAGTAGCCCAGAGAAGGGCAGAAGGCTGCCTAGGTTCACACAGCACAATGACAGACTGTCCATCCAGCACATCCAGCACCTGCTGGCTCAGGCCCTTGACCACCACCCTCCCACCTTCCTTTCCTCAGTGCTCCGGGGCTGCCCCAGCCTCCCCAGCTGACACCCCCTTCACTTAGCTGCCATTAGCCTACCACTGTCGCTGGCTCCATCTTGGTGATGGGTGATGGGAAAGCAGCCACAAACCCTGAACACAGGCTGGAAAACACTCATTTTTCCCTTTTAGTATTTTTTTAATAAATTTAAGAACAGTTCCACCTTTTCTCCTGGCCCAGAACAACTAAAACCAACTGAAAGGGAGCAGAGAGCTAGGAGTCATAGTCCTCTTCGTCCTCTGCATCAGGTGCTGAGGGACCCGGGGGCGCAGGGGGCAAAGGCAGAGTAGAGGGGAAAGGCAGGAAAGAAGCTGGAGGGCTGCAGAATAAAAAGGAGAAAAGTCAGACAGGGCTCTCAGGCCTGGGGCCCACACCACCCTACAGAGGCAGACATGGGAGCCTACCACCTTCTGTACCATGAGAGCTAAACTCCAGAGAAAGGAAGGACCCAAACCAGATAGTACAGCCCTGACCAGGGTCCACCCACTACCCCAGATTAGAATGAGGATAAGACCTCCTCAGAGAACAGTCTCCTGCCTTTAAGACGGTCATGGGCGGGAGGTGTGGCTCATATGGTAGAGCACTGTCCTAACAAGTACAAGACTTTGAGTTCAAATCCCAGTACCACCAAAAAAAAAAAAAAATCCTCAACCAACACCACCAAGTGACCAAGGAAGACCAAAGGGAAAAGCAAATGGCTTTGGGAGTTTGGTAGCCCCCTCCTTGTATCCCTGGGTTGCTTACCTCTGAAAGTGGGAAGGGGGGTGGCTGACTTGGGGTGGGGGCTGTGATGTCTCATCTTCCCCATCAGTATCTGTGTCCTCAGACTCATCCTGTAAGCAACCCAGGAGTGAGGTTTGACAAGAAAAAGCATGGGCCCATCACTGGAGAGTCTAGACCCGAGAGTGGCAGAGACAGGAGTAGACTTCCCAATTTATACCCAGGAGACTAAGGTGCAAGAGGTAACAGATAAAGATGAGACCAGGCCTTCAGCCAACTCAGCCTGGCCCAAGGCTGCCTTTCCATGAGACAGAACAAGGGGTTAGGGAACTCACTCACCTCCTGCTCGGAATCAGTCCCTGACAACTTCTTGTCTTTGCCTTTGCTTCCCATCCCGCCGTTCTTCCGGCCACTGCTACCTGGCTTCCGGCCCCTTTGGGAAGGTACAGCTCATGTGCCCAGAGGTCTCCCCACACCTTGGCTGCCCCCACCAGCCATCCCCAAGCCCCATGGCCTTGGCCTTCCCCACCTGTATACCTGGCACTGGCTACTCACTCACCTTCGAGGGCCCTTGTCTCCATCCATATGGTTGTCTTCCCCATCCCCCTGCATGTCAGGTACTGATGCCACCAAATCCTTCAAGAAGTCAAACTGCTGCTCCAGCTCAATGCACTGCTTCCTAGAAGAGGTACAGAGGGAAAGGCACTTCAGGAGGCCCAGACACTGAGTTTCTTAGTGAGGGACAATGGGGAGCCCTGGATGCCAAGAGCCTAGAAAAACCCCTCCCCATCTCCACCAGAACTCCCTGCCTTTGCTTGGTTGGTCCCTCTGCCTGGAACACCCAACTCCTTCTCCACCAGTCCAAAGTTACCAGTTTCTGAGGACTCGATGGTCTCCCTTGGCCTCCCACTTCCCTCATCCTCCGTACACTGACTCCCACCCGCTCCTCCCAGCTCCTCGGCCACTCACAGGTGGGATGTGGTCATGGTCTTGGCGTTCCGGGACTGGGTCACCTGGCAGGCCTTTTTTAACAGCGACTCCAGGAAGAGCTCGAGCGCCCGAGCTGAGGGGCGTCAAGGAGAACCCGGGAAAAGGAATCCCCGAGTCCCTCCCCATGCCCGTCATCCCGGCCAGCCCCCAGCAGGATACAGATGATGACAGGCACAGCCGCCGCCACCTTCCCAATCTCTTCGTCCGTCTGCATGATCTTCTTGATCCGCGCCTGCGGAAAGAGGCAGAGTTCCGACGCCGTCGCCTTCGTCCCTGAAGGCATGTTGGAGCGAGAGGGGTGTCCCGGGAGAAAGAGGGCGGGGGGCACAGAGCCAGGAGGGCTCGGAAGGGGGCGGGGCGTCAAGGCCTTAAACACCCAGGTGCGCCCGCCCCCCCAGCCGGGCCTGGGCCTGGGTCTCCCAAGAGCCGGGTCCGCTCCTGCCGGGTGCGACCACGTGCTCACCGGCGGGAACCGCGCGTTGTATTTCTTCTTCTTGCTCGGCATCTCGGGGCCTTTCTCGCCGCGCCGGGCCCAGCGCCGCCGCCGCCGCCGCCGCCAGCAGCCTCCCGGCCCCCGGGCCTGCTTGCTGCCCGCCCGCCCGCCGAGTTTCCCCCGGGTCCTGGTGCCGCCTTCTTTGCCCCCGCCGCGCCTCCACTGGGTCCTAGCGCCGCCTGTTTAAGAAGCGGCTCCCAAGGGATAAACGCCTTCCTCTTTTAGTCTCCCAGGCGGTAGGCGTCGGTCCCCCGGCAGACCCGCCACTCGCGCCCGCCCCCAAGCCCGAAGAGCAAACGTTAGCCCCGCCCAGGCGGGCCCGCCCCTCCCTGGGTTTCCGCGATGACCCCGCCCTCCGGGTCAGCCCCGCCCTTTTTCCCCTTGACAGCCCCGCCCCTCACCCGGCTGGTCCGGCCCTGTGGCCCCGCCCCGTGACTGCGATTTTCTATAAAGTTGTAGTTGAGACGGCGAGGCGCTAAGATGGCGGCGGCGGCGGCGGCCGTGGCGGGGGCGGGGCGAGGCGGCGGTGGTGGTGGCGCGGACCCGGGGCAGGAGCGAAGCCGGGCCCGCGGCTGGGCAGGCGCCGAACGCAGCGAAGGCCGGAGGTGAATGCTGGGTGGTGGAAGGGACAGGGGCGGGGGCATTTCTCGGGCTGTGGGCGCTAATGGCGGCGGGCGTGGCACAGCCGAATCTTGGTCCTCCCGCAGGCTGTAACTTAGCCCTGGTTCGAGTCCTATGGCGTCCGTGGCCTCAGGCAGGTCACTGTCTTCTCTGGGCCTCAGTGTCCCGGTCTTTAAGTGGGCCTGGGAACGCTCTCCCTGAAAGCCTGGCTTTCCAAGGCCTGCCTCCCGGGCTTTCGAACCTATGCTCTTCCCTTGCGTCCATTTGATAGCAGAGCCTGCCTCTAGCCAGAAGGTGTAGCTTGGGCAGGTGTTCCCACACCTGAGTTCACATTTCGTCTCTGCCACTCACCACAGGTGTGACCTTGGGCAAGTCCCTTTTCTCTGGGTTTCAGTTTTCTTGTCTATATTATAAGCAGGGAAAGTAGTAAAAATAGCATCACTCCACTTCAGGCATTTCATTGCCAAAACAAATCCGCTGGACAGGATTAGTGTTATCAGCATTCTAAAGACGCAGCAACTGAGGCACAGCGACATTAAGTCTCGCCGGAGGCCACACAGATTAGTGCAGTGCTTGGCACCCACGAGGGCCCAGCAGCCTGTAGTTATTGTCTAAGACCTGACCTAGTTCCCTCCCAGCAGGATGGAGCCAAGTGAGGAGATGGAGGAGGAGGACTCTCCAGGTGGCCGTGAGGATGGCTTCACTGCTGAGCACCTGGCCGCAGAGGCCATGGCAGCTGACATGGACCCCTGGCTGGTATTTGATGCCCGCACCTCGCCTGCCACTGAGCTGGATGCCTGGTTGGCCAAGTACCCACCATCCCAAGTTACCCGCTATGGAGACCCAGGTTCACCCAACTCTGAGCCTGTGGGCTGGATTGCAGCCTATGGGCAGGGCTACACCCCCAATTCTGGTGATGTCCAGGGCCTGCAGGCAGCCTGGGAGGCTCTGCAGACAAGCGGGCGGCCCATCACACCAAGTACCCTGCGCCATCTGGCCATCACCCACCATGTGCTGTCAGGCAAGTGGCTGATTCACCTGGCACCTGGTTTCAAGCTGGATCACGCCTGGGCTGGCATTGCTCGGGCCGTGGTTGAGGGCCGGCTTCAGGTGGCCAAGGTGAGCCCACGAGCCAAGGAGGGTGGACGCCAGGTCATCTGTGTGTACACTGACGACTTCACGGACCGCTTGGGTGTATTAGAGGCAGATTCTGCCATCCGTGCCGCAGGTATTAAGTGTCTGCTCACCTACAAGCCGGATGTCTACACCTACCTGGGCATCTACAGGGCCAACCGCTGGCACCTCTGCCCCACTCTCTATGAGAGCCGTTTCCAGCTTGGAGGCAATGCCCGTGGCTCTCGAGTTCTGGACCGTGCCAACAATGTAGAACTGACCTAGTAGAGACAAATGGGGGAGACCATCCTCTGCCCACCTGCTGAGGATTAGTTCACTCGGGAACTGCCTGCATCTTCAGTCCCCTTGAACTTCTGCCCTTTGTTCAGGGCTGACTCCAGCCCCGCCCCCCCCACATAGGCCGTTAGCTCAGCATTCCTCTTCGATGCTGCTTCCCCACTGCCCAGGACCACAGGTTGGGTGCAGATACTCAAAAAGAGAGCCTTCCATGGCCACCCTCATCCCCGGCTACCCCTTTCCCTCCTCCTGCATTCTTCCCTTTCCTTCCTCCCTCACAAAGGAGAAAACAGTGCTTCCAGTCCCTGCCCCAGGAGCCGTCATAGTCCAGGGGGCAGGGGCCTTGCAGGACCGAGCATGCCATTTTGTTGGGGTAGGGGATTATACCTACTTATCCCCTGGCTGAGGGGATGTAAGGCCATTGACCCTCCCTGCCAACTCACAGCCTGCAGTGCCATCCTCCCTTCCCTGACTCCCTTGACATGGGCCTGTTCCTGGCATTTCAATAAAACCCAGCTTGGGTCTGTGTCTTGAGTGTTTTTTAAAATGCTTGGTTACCTACTTTGATTGCTGGGGAGAGGCAGGCTATGAGAAACCACCCGAAACCTGGCCAAGCCTCCCTGTCTGTCCCCAGTGATGAGATGTGCCTCTCTGCTGAGGCTGAGCTGCCTCTCTGAGGACCTCTGCAAAGCCAGCCTGCTCCCCTGCATCCCAAGAATCAATCAGTTTCTCCATGATTTCCTGCTGTTTCAAGGGTTGACCTTGCCAGGAAGGCCCAGGGGCCACTCATTCCTAGGGTAATTTGTGCATGTCGGAGAAAGATGCAGTCCCAGGCTGGAGCGCAGTTTGGTGAACAGAGGATGTGCTGGATTTCGGCACTCTGGGCTAGATGTCCTTGTGCAGTGAACAACATGCACAACCATAGGTGGTATTCTGGAGCCCTTCCATTAGTACTCACCTTGCCACCCTGACCGTCACTGGAGCCACCTCGCAGTTTCCAAAGCACTTCCACATGCATCATTTCACTCTCATGACCTCTTAAGGGAGATGCTGGCCCCATGCCACCAAAAAGGAGATTGAGGCCAAGAGGGAAAAGAGGGTTTGCCCAGGATAACTCAGCAAGATCATAGAACAGGGATGGGCCTCCAGGTCCCTGCCTCCTCAGACAGTGTGGTCCTGACCTGACTAGGCCACAGTCAACTCTTTACAACCGAAAGAGCACATTCACTCACGTGATCTCGGGGCCACCCTACTCTGGGCTGCAGGAGCATTGCGCTCCCACTTCCCAGCGCTGCCTTTGATTGGGGGCCAAGTAGTTTGGCAGGGACCTCCTGGGGACGCTGCTCTCGTGCAGTGCTGTGCTGAAGCTGACTCAGCCTCCAGCAGCCTCACCAATTTGGAATTTGGAGCAGAGGAGCGGAGATGCCACTGAGCTGACTGGGTGGAAGTGACTGAGTCATGAGATGCTGGGTCAGCCCCTCCCAGCTTCCTCCCCACCCTGAGCTTCCCCAGGGCTGAGTCCCCCAGCCCAGCCTTGGGAAGTCCCCAGAGCTAATGGTCTCAGATCTTGGTGCCCTGCTTGCCTCAGACCATCACTTCCTTGCACTTGATCAAAATGGGCCAAGACTTGGAGGGAAGTCCTAGCTATACTCTCGTTGGTTCTCTAAGGATGACTAAGCAGCTGGGCACTGGTGGCTCACGCCTGTAACCCTAGCTACTCAGGAGGATAGTGGTTCGAAGCCAGCCTGGGAAAATAGTTTGTGAGACCCTATTTCGAAAATACCCATCACAAAAAAGGGCTGGCAGTGTAGCTCAAGGTGAAGGCCCTGAGTTCAAGCCCCAGAACTGCAAAAAAAAAAAAAAAAAAAAAAAAAACCCAAGTGATGTGGGCAGCCCCAGGCTCTTCTATAATGAAGCCTGCCACAGCCAGGTCTAGGTGTCCCCTGCAAAGCTGCAAGTGTCCCTCCTCAGAGTTCCTCTGTGACTCCTTGCAGTCTGCAGCACAAAGTCCCTTCTCTTGGGCTGCCATTGACTATCCCCTTCCCCATCGGCTATCCCAGCTGCCCTTCAGGCATTCCTGTCTGCTCTGCTTACCCCACCGAAGTTGACATGTCCTTTACTCACTGGAGTACAGCCCTGAGCATAGGCTTTCCTTCTGCTTCAATACCTGTGGCACAGCCCTGATCAAAGGATGAGGTGGTTACCTATGTAATCACCTGGTTGCCATCTATCTCCCACTGGTCCCTAAGCCACATGCCCAGACTGCCTGTTCCATGAAGGCAGGAACAGTCTCTAAATTTTATCCCTGATCTCAGAGCCCCCTCTCTAGAAATTAAGCAAAAGGAGGAAGGAATTGACTCTGATCCAGCCCATGTGGTCCCCTCCCACCTCATCTCTCCTCCACTACCCACTCCTGCCTTGATCCAGAATCATAAGCTCCATAGTGTTCTCTTGAACACATTCTGGCTCATGTCACTGGGGTTGAACTCAGGGCTTTGTATTTGCAAAGCAGGCACTCAACCACTTAAGCCACACCTCCAGTCTATTTTGCTCTGGTTATTTTAGAGATGGGATCTCATGAACTGTTTCCCGGGCTGGCCTTGAACCATTGTCCTCCTGATCTCAGCCTCCCAAGTGGCCAGGATTACAGGCGTGAGCCACTGGCTTCCAACCCGATGCCTCTGCTTATGCCGTGGGCTTGCTTAGCATGCTCATCCCCTGCTGCTTTCCCGACTGACTTCACATCTCAGGCCCACTGGCTCAAGTGTCACCTGGATCCTCCCCAGTCACCTTCACCCCAACTACTGTGAGTATATCTCCTGCTACATCACCCACCTGTGGCTGTCATCTATGTGCCTGGGGTCCTTCAAGGTCAGTGACTGCACTTTATGCTCCAGCACCAGCCCCACCCAGTGGAAGTGCTAAATAAACCTCTTGAATAGATGTGTGATTGAATGAAAATCATTCTCTATCTGTAGATCTCAGCTTCCCCCTTCTGTTAACAAGAGCCAGGCACTGTGCTAAGCATTTACCCATGTTATCACATCTAAACTTCATCTGGCTCTGTTAATATTGCCACTTTACAGAAGAGGGAACTGAGGCCCAGAGAAGTTCAATAATTAGCTTAAGGTTACAGAGCTAATAGGTGGCAGAGTCAAGATTTGAACCCAGGTCATCCAACTCCAGAGCACCTGATGCATGAGTAAGCACCCACTAGATGAAAGTGCTGCTGGTATAGGTGCTGTAAGAATAGATGAGACCCAGCAGGGACTTCAGACTGACTTAAAAAGCACACAAGTTGGGGGCCTCAGAACCACTTGACAGGCTGGTCCAAAATGGAGAGACCCTCTGATACTGATGATGAAACTGAGGCCCAAAGAGTGTTGCCACTAGGCCTACATAGGCAGGAAGAGTCTCCCAGGCCTACGGTGGGGACTGCTGCCCTGCCAAGACAAGGATTTCCCAAAGCCCTCCACCTGCCCTCCAGGCTGGCAGGAGGCTGTACTCTCTTTGGCCAGCTTTTGCCTACAAAGGAATATGGAAGTGCCCCAGGTGAGAGGTCAAACTTGTACAGGCCCAGTTCCCTGCTTTTTTTTTTTTGCAGTATTGGGGTTTGAACTCAGGGCCTACACCTTGCTTGAGACACTCCACCAGACCTTTTTTGGATTTTTTTTTTTTTTTTTGAGATAGGGTCTCATGAACTATTTGCCCAGGCTGGCTTCAAATTGTGACCCTCCTGATCTTTACCTCCGGAGTAGTTAGGATTACAGGCGTGAGCCACCGGCACCTGGCCCCCTGCTGCTTTTATAAAACCATGAGGATACCAGAGGCCAGGGACACAAGACCCCCTTTCATCTGCTATACACATTGAAAACCCCCATTACCTAGGGATGAGGCACCAGAGGGAATGTTGGGGCAGGGGAGATGCTACTTGACCCCTGAGTCCGGCTGGGACCCAGGGTGCTGAACCAGGGAGGACAGGAAACAGCTGAGTCGGGAGATGCTTCAGTCAGAACTTTGGCAGGATTTGGGGGATTTTCCCAGCAGGGCAGCTGTGCCCCATTCCCGATGGCTGGGAGGGGCCCTGGCAGGGATGAGGATTGGGTCACATAGCTGATTCATTGAGAAGGGAAACTCCCCACTTCTGTGACGCGCATCCCCCAGGCACCCTGAGGGGTAAACCTGAGGACACCCAGCTGAGAAACCCACCAACTCTGCCTTTCTTTGGTCACTGTCCTCCTGGCAGAGTATAGTAACCCTCAGGAGAGACAGAGGGATAGGCAGGCAGGGTGACAGCTTCAAGAGCATTACCCAGGGAAGAAAACTGGGGACTGCAACCAGAGTAAAGGCTGGACAGAGGCACCTCTGGCGTTCTTTCTCACCCATTTTATAGGTGAGAAAACTGAGGCTCACTGTAAGAACAAACACCTACACAGAGCTGCTCTGGACCAGGCAATTGTCTAATCAGGCTATCTGCATTAACTTGTTTCACTCCTCAAAGCCCTCCTTTTACTGATGAAGAAACTGAGGCTGAAAGGTGCTAAGTTGGCCAAAGTCAAGGATACAAGTGCTTTTGCAACCTCTACAACTCCCAAGAACGTCTAACACAACTCTGTGGCAATGGGATTCTGTCTCTGGTCCCTGAATAGCTCTGGCACCAGGGGACAGCAGACTCTCTGGGGCGAAGTCTGAAATGGTTTCTGGGGATCTTCCACCTTGGGTCTCAACTTTCTTCCTTGGGGACCCTAGAGGACAGACAGCCAAGTCCCCACCAGGCCCTGGCTCCTCCTCTTCTCCTACCAAAGGGAGAGAAGCTGGCTCTTGCAAAAAAGCAGCCAAACCCTCAAAGGCCAGGAGAGGGCAGCGAAGCGTTCCCGCCAGAATTTCTTCAGGGCTTTGACACTTTTCCAAACCCCAAGCCTTTCCTCCCAAGTCAAAGCCTCCCTTTCCTGTCTTGCCACTCCCCTCCCCCAATACACTGCACCCCCCCCATCTGCACCGGGGATCCAGCTCCAGGCTACTGCCCCTTAGGGAGCCTGGGGGCCCTGCTCCCCTCTGCCCTGGGCCAGGTGCTTGCGATGCCCAAGGGGGGCTGAGGGTTGTGGCTTGGTGAGGTGTGGCCAGGGGCCCCACGCAGGCGTGCTTTGCCCCATTTGGCTCCTGCTCACAGGCCACATGACTCACCCCTCGCCCCCCATGACTCAGTTTACACCAATGCCTGGAGGTCCTCCCAGCTCGGGTGGGGCAATTTATGGTTCCAGCCCAGGCCCGCCAGCCTTTCATCTTAAGATGAGCGCTTCATCCCACTCCTGGCTAGGAGCAGGAGCTGGCACCCTCAGGGACAACAGGCCAGCTTCCAGGAGCTTGGGGACAGGAAGTGGGTGGGGGGAGTCCCAGGTCTGGGCTTTAGGGCTTTAAGGAGGAGTCCAAGAATTGGGTGACAGACCCCAACTATACTGGGCCTAGGTCTGTAGGGGGCAAGAACCATGCCAGGAA